GATAAAAAAAGAATATTTTTGGAACTCATTGGCTTTAAACTGAAATTTTGAATTTAAAGGTTGCAGCTGGACAATTTCTCCAGTACAAAGCAGGATGTGTTGTTAGCGGTGCAATACGAGACTCCAATCGAGAGAATGCTTTGAAACATGTTGGGCGCCTGACGTTAAATGATACATTTTTTATTCGCAGAATGATATTGTTTCATAAAATTGTGTATGAGCATGCTGGTTTACTATTAAGAAATTTTCTTGAGTATAACTCATCTAACACAAGCTCAAATAATAAAGGTCATATGGAAAAAATGTCGGCGGTGTTCGCAAAAAACAAATGCAATTGCGACTACAGGTAAAACGTTCTAAGCGGTGGAACTGGTGCAGGTTCGGTATAAAAGGTCGGTATAAAAGGGGCATTATCCTCAACGATCCAACGTTTGCCACATATTTCTCCTGATTTATAGGTGCTTTCATCATGACCTTAAAAGGGAAAATTGTGAAAAAAGGTGAAGATGAGTTTCAGGGAAAGTAGAAAAAAATTCCTTACATATTAGAATAATCGGATGTATATCAGGTTTAACCCACTTTGGATCCCTTTCCTCCGTAACTGTGTAAAAGTGATCTTTGTGTTCCATGAAGTATTTGACGAATTGTTCCCTGTGTTGAACAACATCGTCTCTCTCATGACTTAAGAAATATGGTCTTCCTTTATTTCCTGTGTACTTGCAACCAAAACGCCTCAGATCTAGTCTACAACTCTCAATTGATCTGATCAGTTTATCTTCAGCCTTTTTAAGATTGTTAAGTTCATAAAATCGATTATCAATGAACCTTGCAAGTATTTCTAAAAATAGCAGAGTTTATTCCAAATGAAGTATTTTTACTAACAAATTTCACCGAAAAATATTCTCACCTGCTGTGAATGAAGCTTCTTTTTTCGAACATACTTGGAAAACAAAATCTCTAGCTTCCATCTCTAAATCCGTGTGTAGATCCCAGAAACCATCAATGTGTTTTCCAACTATAAATCAGATAGAAACTCGTTTTATTAGTGAAAAAGAGTAGCTTTCGTTCGGCTAACCTCGTCCATCTGCTATAAAATCATCAAAGTCATGATGTACTAATATATAGGCCCTTCTATTCCACTGAATAATGTCAATGGTCACCTTCAAGCATTACTTGGAATATCGGAACGATCAGTTTATTATTTAAAAAGTGAGTTGAAAGCCTTGGTGAAGGAGCAATAAGATTCTACAAGATTACGACGATCATCGTCAGCTTCATCGCCATCTGTCCTGCCGTCTCCTTCTTCACCAAAGAAACAAAACGCTGGACGTCCAAAAATTCAGCTAACCACTCTCGAACAAGACACAATTCGGCTGACATTTCATCTTTTATTGAAAGATAAAATATATCCCACACTTGAAAATTTACTGTCAGCATTATTGGCTCAAAAACCTGATTTTCCTATTCGGTCGCGAATGTTGTTACATCGTCAGCTGAAATTGATTGGTTTTAAATACAGGCAAACGAAGAAAGCAAATGTATTAATGGATGCAACAGCAATTCAAGCCCAAAGAGCTGTTTATTTTCGAAAATTAGAGGAATTACGATCATCTAAAGCCGTTCTGTATTACCATGATGAGACATGGATGAATCGTAATGAGGAGAAAACCGTTATCTGGTTTGATGATGAAGGATTTGGTCGCCTTCGAAATAGTGAAGGAAAAGGTAATACTCACTCGCACACTTTGACAGCTCGCTCTTCGTTATACTTACTTTCGTTCTCATTTGTATAGGACAGCGGTTGGCAATAAGTGGATTAATCAGTCTGAGTGGCTTTCATCTGAGATCATTAGATATGTTTAAGTGTGATAAAGTACATTCTATGGATAGTAAACACTTCGTCGAATGGATGGAAACTACAGCCAGTACTCTACCAGCTGAACATGGAAAAGCAACGCCAATAGCTATTTTGATTGATAATGCCACATGGCACAATAAACTGGCTCCTGAATCTGAACCACCAAAACGAGCTTGGCAAAAAGCATTAGTCGCTGATTGGTTAACTCAAAGAAAAATCAAATTTGAATTGTATATGACGAAAGCCGAGCTACTCGAATTAGCATTTCAACA